ATATATATATATATTTTTAGTCGAAGAGAAAGATTGCGTCGAAAGACGACAGCGGAAAAGGTTCGAAGATAGTCAGACAAGCTAATAGACAGGAACAATCGCGAGACCAGTGGGAGGATCAATCGCAGATGCAACACGAACAAACGATCTCGATTAAGCAGGAGGAGGAGGAGGAGGAGGATGAAGCGTCGTTAGCTACAACTGACATTGTCGTAAGATCATTTATTAAAAAAAAACATGCGTGTATGATTTTTATCGATGTTATCTTGAAAGTGAGACAATTACAGCTCGTTAAAGATACTAATAAAAATCATCGTTAGATCCCCGATAGTGATTTGTTCGAACTGGGAAGTATCGACGAAATTTACGGCGAGGCTAGCGAGCGAACGTTAGATCCGGGCTGTTTCGTCGCCATAATCAAACGAAAGGAGATGATGCAGTTCGATTCGCTTTTCATGATCAAAGTCGCGGAATCGAAGGGACTGTTCGGCGATCCAGACAAGGAACGAAATCCGAAGCAGAAAGCCGAGGTAATGCCGGCGGCGGCGTGTCAAGTATCACGAATGAATCGCCGAGGTCTCAAGCGTGCCAAGGTACGTTGCATTCCATATTCAAATGCTATCTCAACCTTATATAAAACTCGGGTAACGCGAATGCTTTCTCTGTAAAATCAGCCTTTTTAGGCTAATAGGTCTAAATATCTAGGCTTTTAATCTAATGTCTAAAATTGTAAAACGAAATTCTGTTTGATAACGTGATTATATAGGGGTGTTTTTTGACTTCAAATTTGTCGTCAACGACCTCAAAAAAAGACCAAAAAAATTTTGAAGTATATATATATTTAGAGTAAATGGGATTGGTTTTATTTCAAAAGTGTTGTTTTTATGATTATTGGTGTTACTAAAAAATTAGATAGATTTAAAAATTCTAAGAAATTTGTTGATAATTTTATAAAAGTTTTTTGGTTTTTCTTGATTTTTGCTATTTTTAAAAAATTATAAAAAAACAGGGGTGAGATATTGAGGAATTGTATATCTTTTTTATTGATACTAGATATCGAGATTTTTAAAATGAAATTAAATGATTAAATTTTTAAAATTATGGTCGTCGATAATGATACATTATAACATAACCGAGTAATCAATTTTTTACGTATCGGAACGTATAGGTCCCACTGGGACATGAGTTATAGTACTGATTTGCAACGACCGTAACGAGTCTAATTTGTCTCTTGACAAACAGATCGAGATAGATCGCTTAGCAGCGCCCACGCACTCCTCGCTATTGCGAGCTATGAGCAAACATGGTCAACCGTGTCCTCGTCACAGCCGATACATCGTGCGAGGTGAGAAGTTATTGTCGACGCAAGTGCGTGAGACACGAAGACGAGACGCGCGCCGATGGTGGCGGGACGCGATGACGTTTCTCATTCGTCCGGAAGGATCTCGCGAGTTTCGCGCAACGCGCTTGGACCCGTTCACGCAGAAGCCACTACTGTATCCCTTTCACGTGAAGAGGATCACGTTATCGAAACGATGTCGACGTCAAAGCAATCTCACGGTCGATTCCGCTCAGAGTTTGATTTAATGATATTTAAAAAATTAGGTTCTCAATGCAATTACGTTCTCGCGATACGCGACTCATTATATTATCCAATTAACGCATTCGATTATTATGCTTTTTATGTATATTCGATTTAGAATGATTTTACTTAATGTGAGCTACGTATAACTTGTATATGAATCGATTGTCAAACAGTTATATTTGTTTAGAATATCGTAACTTTTTATTCGCTTTTGCTTTATTTGTAAGAGAAGAGAGATTTATGAGAATAAAGCTCGTTTATTCTAGAATAAAAAAATAGAGAAGACACTGTAGCTCTACTCTTTAATCACGAGTAGGTAACTGGGACGCTTATTGTTGGTTCGATAAATGGCAGCACATCTCTGTGCATATCTTTTCCTTCTTCTTTCCATTAGACACGTCCAATATCGATGGCCTGATATTTCTATCTTCGATTCAATTAATTTTTATCTTGGAACCTATTTCTAGAACTATTTCTTATAATAAAATTACTGATTGATTAAAATTGTTAAAAAATAAAAAAATAAAATAGATGGTTGCGCTTCGGGGTAAAATAGTTGGCATATTGGTTAATTAATTTTATAATCTAATCGAAGAATGGTTGAACCGAATCGTGATCCCTTTGTTCTCTCGTTGATTTAAATAACTATCAATTTTCTGTTATCTCTCTTTACAACGGATCGAAATAAACATTTTTCGAGCACATAAAATGTAGAAATATCTGTAGAAAGAAATGTTATTTAGACTAAAGATTAAGATTTGACATAAAAAATATAATTGAAAGTGTCACAGTTTTTAAAATTATTTTTGTATTGAGGAACGTTTTTTATGCTAAAGAATTGTGCTAACATTATCCGTGTCATTAATAAAATTATTTCGTGTCAATTACGAGTAATAAGTGTATCGTGCATTAATTGAAGAATAAATTACTAGTTATAACAATTTGACTTTTTATCATGTCAATAATGAATCTAACTATGTCATTTCTACATGATCCAAAATGCTTCCTTCTTATTCTCCTAATCTATCTCTCCGAATATCCGTTCAACTTCCAGAAGGATCGTTTAAATCGAGACCATCATCATTTCGCGATTAATCGAATCGCGGCGATGCACTTCGTTAAAATTGTATTTGTCTGTATTGGAAATTCGATCGATTATTTTGGAAGAGTGGAGACTCGAAATACGATGCGTCAACTCCTTTACAAAGTAAACTTTTATTCACGCTATAAATAGTAAATAATTAATGCAGCTTCGAGCAGAGTAAAAAATAAACAAAAGTATATGTAAAACAATTATATCTCGCGGGAGAATCGATCGATGTATTGTCACGTTAACGATGATATCGATTCGAGGCTGACATCGGAGCACCTTTTAATTGGACAAAATCGTCGAGAAAATTGTAATTTCAATAATATCGAGGGAGGAATATTTCAAGTATGAATTCGATATGGACGAGGCTAGCATTCTCGCCTTATCGCTGTGGTGTCAAGATGCGATGCAATTTGCTGACGCATCGTTGCAATGCTACCAAAGAAGCCGTCGTAGAATCGGTATACGATCTACACAAAACCTTTATCCTATTCTTTCTTTTCTTTCTAATTCGAACTTTCGTTTCAGAAATACGATCTGTATCGACTCGATAAAGGACCGTCCGAAAAATCGACCTTAAACGTGAACGATGCCACGTACGCTCTCAAGAAAATGAATTACATACGTCGGATGGAGAACAAAGCCGCGGAGTTGTACAGACAGCGGCTCATCAACGGTTTCTTACATTTATATGTCGGTCAGGTAGACCAAAGAATAGCTAAGAATCCGCAATTGAACCCGATATATGCGAAAAGTGTGAACGCAAGTGTTGCGTGTTTTCTTTTTTTGTTTTTTTTTTTTTTTTTTTTTTTTGTAGGAAGCTATAGCAGTGGGTCTCAGAATGGCCTTGGCCGAGAAAGATACTGTCATTACGGCATACAGGTGTCACGGCTTTGCCGTTGTGTTTGACATCTCGGCGCGCGCGGTACTCGCCGAACTCATGGGTCGCAAAACGGGCGCGGCCAAGGGCAAGGGCGGTTCGATGCACATGTACGCGCCGCGATTCTATGGCGGCGACGGTATCGTCGGCGGACAGGTAAACGATCACGTTCGCGACTCTTCTGGTGCTTCTGCTGGGAATCTAGCGCCTGGTATTTCGCGATTAGGTACCGATCGGCACCGGTATGGCCCTGGCTCATAAGTACAACGGTACAGGTGCCGTGGCCTTCACATTGTACGGCGATGGTGCGGCGTCGCAAGGTCAACTCTTCGAGGCTTGGAACATGGCGAAGCTCTGGAACCTACCCGCGATCTACATCTGCGAGAATAACCGATACGGAATGGGTACGGCCGTGCATCGGTCCTGCGCCAACACACAGCTATATACGCGCGGAGACATCATACCAGGAATAAGGGTAAAACGCAGGTTTTGCCATATGTATAACATCATTTAGAATTTTAAAGAAGAAGTATCGACAGCTGACATTGATCTCTCCTAAAGCCTTACTTTTAATAAGTTGTTAATTTTGTAAATTTTATTTACGTCGCTAATATCCCCAAAGAAGCGTTTCATTTCAAAATAATTAAAGTTATTCGGCCCATTAGTTTTCAAGATATCCGTCATATCAACTTTGAAAATAGTGTTTTGAGAAGAACATGTTTCAAATTTTGTAGACCCGCTTCAAGCGGGCTTTATGTGCACCATCCTATTCAAAATCTTATAATATCTCTGTCCATTTTATGAATTTTACGAATTTTTCAATAAAATTTAAAAGATATATTCTCCAGAGATCATGCTTTCAGAAAATGTAAAAAAAAATCAATTTTTTTTGATCGTCTAAAGTAGACTAGGGCCTTAAATAATTAATTTTATCTAATCTAATATATTCTCTCTATATTTATTATACTATCTAATATATCTGAATATCTTGTACATAGGCTGATGGGATGAAGATCGTGGATGTACGAGAAGCCGTACGTTTCGCCAGAGATTACGCGCTCAGAAACGGACCAATCGTGATAGAGATGATGACTTATCGTTACTTTGGGCACAGTATGAGCGATCCCGGATACTCGTATCGTACCAGAGAAGAAATTAAGACTGTACAAAGCGAGCAAGATCCGATCATGTTGTTTAACAAACTAGTTGTAGGAAAGGGACTTATGACCGAGAAAGACATCGAGGTAACTCTCTCAATTATCGAAATATCTAGCTTAAAGTAGAAGCCGAAAAAAGAGCGTTACATACGCGATATAAGAAATTATTATCATCGAGAGAGAGAGAGAGAGAGAGAGAGAGAAAGTTATTACATTAGAATTTTAAATTTATCGGTAGCAACGAAATGACAACTGTGTTTTAACTATGCGTTGCATGCGTGTTAGGATATACGAAATGAAATGTACAAGAAGGTCGATAAGGAACTGGAGCAAGCTAAGGCCGATCCGTGGCTGGAATTGTCGGAAATCTCGACCGATATTTACGTCAAACCGTTGGAGAAGATTCGCGGTAAAGTTCCTTGGGAAATGCACTAGGAATATTAATCGTGTATATAATTTCTCATCGGTGAAAATTATTTGTTACCCATATCCTCCTGTGTTTAAAGATTTAAATTATTTTCAACGTAGAGCGATTTGAATTATATATATCGCGCTCATCGCACTTTAGATAAAAATGTATCGCGCCTTGCAAAATAATATAACGCGGTTCTTTTTGAAAGACTATAACAAAATGGTCTGAAACTGTTTCGAAAGCTGTTGTAAAATACAAAAGCAATCTTTCTTTGATTCTTTGAGTCAACATCCAAAAACATTCAATAAATAACATTGGTAATATCAACGAAATCTATTTTCTTTTAAAATTAATATGAAATATAATTATTTAGATTTTTACAATAAATGATTTTTCGTTTCTTTGATATCTTATAATGAATCAATATTTGCAGAGTCTACGTTACACTACGTGAAATATCTCGATTATGCATTTTTAAGAAATATGCGCGCATGTATTTAGCGACAGAATGATTTGTGCAATGAATTGCGTGTTGTTTTTCTCTCTATGTGCTTGCGACGAGAAAATAGATTTTTGATAGATACAAATATTTTCCATAGTCTTGGCTCATTCTACGAATCCAATAACATGGAGCGAGCTCGAGGGAGAAGAGGGGTACAATCTCGTTATTTATCTCGTCGGCAGAAAGTGATCAATTAAAACCGATGACCGTTTCAAACGAGAGGGCACGAAGGCGCGACAAAGGCCGGGGAAATGGCAGGCAGGAGAGACAATGAATGAGTCAGATTATGAAAGAGGCGTAGGAGAAGCGCGGAGTCAACGCGGAGGGCGAGGACGAAGCTGAGCGAACGTCTCAGCGGGAGTCGCCTTATGTCGCTCGCATGTGTCACGTCGCGCTAATCGAATTCTAACGAGACGACAGTCTAGTCGCTCAGGACGAGATATCGGATCGATCGGTCATTTGCACACATTCGTCTCTGTCGACTTTTCTCTTCTTTCGTCTTTTAATCCGTGGCAGACACACGTTATTACACAATTCTCTTCGATTCGCGATCGTCGATTAACCCGGGTCTCGAGCAATCAGCTCGAAATTCTCTAGCAGGTACCGTGTCATTCTTTTCCTTTTTCCGTAAGTTTCCTTAGGATTTAATTCCGCTTCATAGAAAAACTTCTAATTTCGACATATCTAATTAAAAGTTTGACATTTAAAGATTAAACCTTGATGTTCTCCTTCCGAAGCTATAAAGACAGATTCGGAGGGGCGGTGCCGGAAAGTTCGCGAATGCAGACAAGTAATTTAAGAAAGACAAATGCTCAAGTTAATAAAATTCCGCAGGCGAACCTCGACAACGCGTCATCGGCGAAGACGCTCGAGGAATTGCTCGCTCGAGTAGACGGCAATAACCCGATCGAAGTAACTTTGATGACGCTGTGTCTTGATTATGTCGGGTATTTAGCACGGTATAAAGTAGATTATATGTATCTTTCGCGCATTTCTAAACGCGCAAATGTCTCGCAAATTATTCTCTCTTCTCGCGATCCGTAGAACCGTACTAGAATATTCATCAATATCTCCGTAAAGTAAAAATTCGATGGTGAATTTGCAGAAAGAACATAGCAAAAAGTAAGCAAAATTATTTTTCTTATCGTTGAAAATACGTATATATGAGATGCTGTAGTCTGTAAGAGTGAACAGCATTTAAACGTTTGATAAAGCATTATCTGCAGCGAGCGTATCTCACGGTACATCCTGTAAGGATGTGGCTATCGTTACTCAATATTGAAAAGAATGCCGTCAACCATCAATATCAAGCAAACAAACTATGTGTATATATATGTATATATATGATTACTACGATATTCTAGAAAAAGGAGCTAGCGGAGAAACGATGAATAAATTGATCGTGCTCGCATTGCCGTTCGTACCATAGACTCTTGGAATTCGATGAAAAATTTCAAACTTGTTCAAGTTGCCGCAATTTTTGCTCAGAAGTAACGGCTGTCACGATACACCAGCGATATGGAAATCGATGCGAACATTAGCGACGTATTACGCGGTATGTATCTCAACACAAGAGACACTAAATAAATAAATATTGTAGAAAATTTTTATGCTTTTATTCATTTCACAAGCATACCATATTTAGTTTTAACATACCATATATTTATCCGAAAATTCAGCTTTTTTTCTTGTAAAATATTATCTCGATAGAAGTGATAGCATTTTTGGAATGCCTTCGCGACGCGCAACTTCCACTTACGCTGGAGAATCTGCGAGAAAAGCTGCTGGCGCGCTCGAGGGAGACTCTAAGCGTTACAACGATGACTCGAGGATCCCCGGAACCTTATCTCGATATGAACTCCGGTCCGAAAAGCCTGTTGTTAAGAAAGAACGAAGCCGATTCAGAGGAATACGTAGGAATGGAAGAATCTAAGAAGCAGAATCATCAAGATTACTACGAAACCTTCCAAAATGAAGAACAAATTGTCACTCAGGACGAGTGTCCCGAGCAAAACGATGACGAAACGGACGAAGGTCAAACGTTAATTAGGATCTATAAGAACCTATCGGCGGCGCAGATCAAAAGTAAATGTCACAAGTGCGGTCCGCTCTACAAGAAGGAAGAGAAGAAGCTGTTCCTATCGGAGAGCCGCGCCTGCTGGATCGCGCTCGTCGGATCGCATTTGCTCATCTACCGGAGCGAACGGCACAACCGACCGTACGCGATCTATCCTATTCGCGGATACATGGCCCGACCGGCGCCGAATTTAATACCCCGCGATAGGCAAAAGAGCGAATCCGCTTTCGAGATGTACCGCCCAGGAAACGAGACGTTACGTTTCATCGCAAGAACGCCGAAGGACATGGACCAGTGGATAACAAAAATCTGCGAGGTGGGTTGCGCGAAGAACGCGAAGAACAAAGCGGAAACCCGCAGAAAACGACGAACCTTCGTCACCGAATCCCTGATAAGTCCCGACGAGATCACGATCCGGTATCGAGACGCAGGAGAGTCGATCATAGTTGACAGGCCAACGGCTAAAGGCGAATCGGCGTGTAATAAAGACGAAGAGATCGAGCAAATAAGGGATAGGATCGGAAGTCCGCCTCCGTTACCTGCCCGGATACCGCGGAGGTTACCCTCTTTACCTCCCGACGACGATACGATACCTTCCTACAGAGCGGCCGTCGAAGATGACGATGACGACGATGACATATACCACAAGATCGAAGATTTGAGAAATGGGACGCGTTATCAGAATATGATACTGTCGAGGAAACAACGGGCCGATGAGAAGCACGAAGTTGTTGCGTACGACGATGTTCGCGCGCCCGACAAAAGTAATAATGAAGGAGAAATGCGGAAGGAAAGGTCTTGCGACGCGATACTATCTGAGGAGACGTACGACGATATCGTCGTCCTTTCGCGAATCAACGCTATTAACGCGAACAGCGAACGACAGAATCACGATCGTCCTATCGTCGACGGTGAAAAAGAATGCGAAGACCTTTACGACGACGTGGAAGTAAGTCGCTATGTTCTTCTATTATACAGAGTGTTCCTAAAGTGACTATCTATTTTGGTGAAAACAGAGGTATTTTTTTTTTTTAATTTGTCTATTGGCATAATGGTACATCCATTGTTATACAAATTCATATATTTATAAAAGTTCTATGCTTGACGATTTTTTTTATTTTCTCTCTCAGACCCTTTGCTCTTCATGCTTTTTATCTTGCATGTCACTTGCACATTCATCATCAATGATGTGGGTCTGAAAGGGAAATAAAAAAAGTTAATAAAAAATTGCGAATAGTTATAGTATATTCAGAAATTAACGATAAGTTTCTTTACTGTTTCAACGCAGAATTTGGTTTCAAACGAGAAATTCGCCAAAGATCGTACAAAGGATCAAACTGAAATATCGAGCAAATCGCCGCAGAAGAAATCCTTTCTGAATAGAGTTTTAAGTAGAAAGGAATCGCCCGGCAAATCGGACAAGAAATATAAAGGGAAAGCTTCATCGAGTCCACCACCGTCCTTGACCAAGGAAGAAATGTCTACTTACGACGATGCGTCCGATCTAACGCCGAATCGCGAATCTTCAGCGGACGAAGGGGAAGAATTGTCGGAATACAACTGTCCTCCCCCACCTAGGCCAGTTTATACGAAATCGACAACCCTAAACGGTCTCGATCAAACCAAAGAATTTTACGATGATGTCAGCGTCTATAAAAATCAGGTATTATTTTGCTCTCCTCGTAATATATAT